TATATATATATATATATATATATATAATTATTCTATATTTGATTCATAAATTATATTAACACTTTTGTACCTCACGGATATGTACTCAAAGAGTATAGCAGGATCTTTGACCTTGTTCAAATAGCTGCATAAAACACATTAAAATTAGCTAATTCTGGGCTGGGGTTGTGGCTCAGTGGTAGAGTGCCTGCCTAGCATGTGCAAGGTCCTGGGTTCGATCCTCGGCACCACATAAAAATAAATAATTAAAATAAAGGTATTGAGTCCAACTAGAACAAAAAATTTAAAAAAAAAATAGAAAAAGTAGCTAATTCTATGGTTATTTTGTTATTTCAATTGAGAGGATGCTGTGGTATTAATCACATTCAATCTGTGAACATGTTTATTGTACCATTTATTTTATCAGCTTAGTTTAGAATTTATTTTATTTGATAAAACTGCTTCCTTTTCAGATTATTTAATATCAAGTAAAACATCTGCACAACCTAAATTCCTATCCAGAGGCACTCTACAACAATCTAAGCTATAAGTAAGCATCATAATAAAATTCAACATGCTGCTGTCACAATACATTTTACTAATTCTAAACCTTTGTTTTTATTAGTCAGGGCATTGTCAGAGCAGCAGTATTAGTAAAGTGCTGACCAGGAGGACTTTTTGAATACAGGAGATAGCTATCATCATTATAGTGGTGTCTCCATTGAATACACAGTCCTGCTGTGCTGCACCATGGTCCATCAGAAACATTTTGAAAATATTTATTCCAATTTGCCAAAGTCACAAAGAATCTTTTGATATGCAGATCTCTAATTTTTCATGCAAATATTTCTTCTACTCAGTATTTATCAAATATTTCAAAAGCATAAACATTTAATACAGTTTTATATTATAGACATTTTCTTCACGGAGCTGTATTTTGCAAGCCTATTAAACACTTCCTAGATTACAATCTGTGATTTATGTGTACTTTAGAGGTTTTCCTTAGGAAATGGTGTGCTTGTGAGTGGAACTCGTAAGATAACACTGAATTTCACAAAACAAAACATAGCTTATTTTTCTTGTTAAAATCCTCCATTCATTCCTAGTAAGTTTTGTTGATACTTCTCCAAAATAATTAGGGAGCACCCAAGATTTCATGAAGATCAAAACTTAGGTGCTAGTTTATGATACAGCTAACTACTCATGCCTCACTTACTGTGCCCATCAGCTTGTCTCATAAACATTTTGGTTTAGTTAGAACTCCTAGCAATATGGATTTTTAGCGATGTATCTCAATCAGAAACTCCACTACACCCAAACTGAGTATTGATGGTTTTATAGTAATGATTATCAAATACACCATAGGGAATATTCTTTCAATATGGTACAATAAATACCAGGAATAAAAGATGGTTTCCATATGGGAAGAAGATTTTTAATGATACAGCTCCTGATCATATTTGATTTTATATAAATTAGCACTTGAATAATAGTATTGATATTATTTCACAATATAAATTTACTCATTCCTTCACTCACTCAGCAATTAGTTATTGAACATCTAAGTGCCAGGCTGTACAACTAGGTAACAAAAAATGAGTAAAATAAGGATTTGTCTTCAAAAAACGATGAATATACTTAAGAAATAAACAAAGTGATTTTAATCCTTAAATAATATTAGTAGGCATATGTAAATGGAAGATGGTACAACAATTTTCTCTGAAGTGTTTACTTTTCTAAACTGGGAAGTGTAAAGTCTGCAATTACAACTGATACAAGAGGTTTTATATAATTACTTTAGAATTTAGCTAACAATTCATAGGTGAGGTGAATGGAAATATTTACAAATAATTATTATAAAATGATATTTTTACATAGGTGTGTATCTTTGAGAATTAAAGAAAAAAGTTGGTGTGACATTGTGATATGTTATAAAGGATACCTTTAATGTCATAGGACTTCTTGTTCCCACAGCATCTACCAAAATGGAAATCACTGGATTACTATATGTCCTTTAGAGTTCAGTAAAAATGTTCATTGATATTTCTGGACTGGACACTCTGCTCTGCCTCCCTGATCTTCAGCTCCAAACCTTCTCAAGTGGACTGTCATCCCAGAGGGGAGAGGTCTTGGAAAGAATCCTCTGAGTCTTGAGCCCGACCCTATCTGACCTGTTTGAGAGTGCTAAGTAGAGCAAACTTAACAGCTGTGCAATCCAGGCTTCTCGTCTGTAGTTTCCATAGCCTGTGCCAAGTGGTGGCCTGCAGAGTAATTTTAATCCTTAACTTGGAATTTAGAAATATTATATGACCAAGTAGGATAGCATAGCATGATCTCTTATACTTCAGAATCAACAACTTTATGATCCTGTTAGCTGGAATACAGTTTAAATACAGGATTGTATTGTGCTCTTTGACCAAGTGGCAAATAAATTTCAAAAGACAATTTCCTTCTGTGTTTACAATGTTCAATATTTTAAAACCTGACATGTTATGAACATTTGGAAAACAGAATCTTTTAAGTGACATAAATTTCAATTATAGGAAAACTGAAAAGATTTTTGAGAAAATAACAGCTGTTGTCTTTTCTGATTAAATACTATTTTTGATAACATCTTAAGATTACTAGTCTCTGATGTGAACACTTGACAATATTAAAAAAAGAACTATTCTATTTGGAAAGAAGTACTATGTAGCCAGATTTTCAGAAGATTCCAAAGTTATCTAGTAAGATAGGATACTGACTAACAAAGGGATACCATTTATATGTCTATGCAGAAAACATTGACATACAGATTGATAGCTTATGTCAAAATTTATTAAAAACATAATTATGTATTGCACGTTGTCAAAGGAAGCCTTTCAGTTTAGTAACAAGTGACATTAAGAAAAGGTCATCTCCATTCATATTAATTCTCTATTTGCTTTGGGAATTGTTTTTAAACTTCTCTTAGAACTGGTATATTATCATATTTTTAAAGATGGTCTTCAGAAGAAGTTGCAATTCAAGATATGGTTATCAGGGATCACTAGAAAAAAATCTCTGCTTTACCTTTGATTTGTTTTTTAAGATGCAGTGTCACTGTGTCACCTACGCTGGTCTCCAACCCACGCACTCAAGTGATCCTCCCACCTAGTCTCTCTCCTGATTAGCTGGTACTACAAGTATATACCACCATACTCCACCACTAGTTAAAAAATGAACATTTGTTTAAAAAAGGCACTTCCATGAATTTCACGTTAACTACCTTGTTGTACATCAATATTTACACTTGGTCATCAAACTCTATAATAAAATAATATCCACTTAAACCAGCCACCAATTATTAATATATCCAGCACTCTGATTGATATTCAAGTTGCCTGAGATAATCAATGCAGAGCCCCAGAATGCTTAATCTTTAAAATGGGAGTAACATAGGTAATGTAAAAGTCTGCCTCATTTAATACCTTCTCCTAATAAATTCAGAATTTGAAAAATTAATTTTACCTTATAATCCAAGAGAGAATTCACTTGTTCTACTTCAGAATTACTTATCATGTCACTTTCTTCATCATCAATAATTTCTATTTTCTATAATACAAGTAGAGAAGTTTCTATAAATATTTATTAGATGATTTTCACTATATTCAACAATGTATAGAACACACATAATCAAGGTTAGGTTTAACAAATGAGTTATCTAGTCTAGGTTATCTGGAATAAATTAACTGCCTCCTCAGTGTTATTCAGTGATTTTGTGCCCCTTCCTTTTACTTTTAATTGATGACTGATTAGAATATAGAAAACTACTTTAATACTATTTAAAATAGAAAATTACTTTTCACAATATCCCTTAAAAAAAACAAAACAACAACAAAAACAGGCATTCAATTCTGCTTAAATAGCGCCCTCCAGCGACAGGGAACTCACTTCCTGTAAGGATAGTCTATTTTAATGGTAAACATATTATCAATAGGAAGCACTTTCTTTTTTATCTCCTCAGGCCTCTTTGTTACCTCTAATGTAAAATATCAACATATGGTGTATTCCAAAGGCAAATACAATTTTTAAAAATCACGAATTTACTTCACTCTATTAGCTAGACAATTGAAAGCAGATGTTTATGATGTAGTGATTAAAATTGCATGGTGATTTTTTTTCTTCATTAGACACTATGGAAAGGAGTGAGTAGGTGCAAAAGGCAAACAGAGAGAAAAAAAATGCCCTTAGCTTTGAAATGAAGAAACAACATAGCTTGTGCAGCATCTTGCACACAGTAGGTCCTAATTAAATAACTGTCCAAAGAATGAACAAAATTGCTCAGTCCTGATGAAAAGAATTGCCAATAAGCTATAAACATGAGGGTAACGCAAATTATCTAATCACATATATGTTTTTTTAAAAGCAAAAATCAAAAGAAAATATCAGCTCTAAATTTTTCTTTTGCATGTAAAAAAACATAGTTAAAAATTAAAAGCACCCTGAAACATTTAAACTCTTTAAAAAAGGGAAAAGATCAGCAAGACCTAGTCACTAGACAAGTCTTTTAAGAACAAGCACATTAATAGCAGCATGTTGTAGACAGAATTTGAAATTAGGCTTCCTACCCAGCAATATATATGGTGATTAAAAGTCACAAACAAACGTGGAATGATCATATTTGAAATATTGCCTACGAGGATATGATACCATTACAGGGTTTCTGACCTGCAGGCTTCTGAATCAGAAGGACAGCTGCAATGAAATTGCTTTCTACCGCTGCCTGGAGATGAATCTAATGTTTTGTTTTCTATTATAATCACTATAAACTTGGGACTTAATCATGTTGGCTCTCCCTAGACCTCAGCAATGATACTTTTTTTGATGTTTTTCATATTCTCTAACTATTTGCATTGGTTCTGGGAAAAAAAAAAAGGAGCTAAGCAATCCAGGAAGGAAGGCACCAAAGGCCACTGTATAGATTTGTGCATATAAATAGGTCTTATATGTCTGTGTGATTTGTCATCCATGAATAATTGGGGGCACTCCAAAGTTACAGGCAGAGGAGATCAACCTTTGAAAGTTTGGAGCTTTGTCTCTGAAAATCAATTGTTCTTGAAAAATTAGGTGCCTAAGTGACTGTGAGTCATTCCACGCAATGACTTCATTCATTATCTTCAAATGTCTGCTGCAAGGGAAATTCAAGGCAGGCTAAAAATGAGCATTTTTTTTTTCAGGAGTAAGAGGTTTTAATTTGTAAATACACGTATATAGCTTATATATTATGATTCAAATCTATATCAAAAGGAGATTATTAGTTGGTGCACTTTAGGAATATTAATGAAGTCTAAAATTCTAGAAAACTAATATTTTTTTTTACCTAATGAAAACATGACTTTGCCTCAAAAATCAAAGCTTTTTTTTTTTTTAGGAGTGTAACCTGTTGAATTTAGTGTTAGAAGTGTCAAACATAGACTTCAGCCAGGACAATAAAATGCAATCCTAAGCTACATCCTACATGTGAGTAACAATTTAAATATTGTAGATATTTAACAAACAAGAGCAAAACTGCATGTTGTATGTGCTTAATTTTTATTAAACAGATGTGGCAGGATCATAGGGACAAACAAATAATGTTGGTAATGTAAGGGTTAATTTTGATATCACAGTAATTTTGGAACAAAAAAAATCCATTATCGGGGCATACTTTTAATGACTGCAATCAAGCACAAAATACTGATTCAAAAGGGAAAAAATACACAATGACTTTTCCCATTCCCCTGTATGCATGATTTTGCTTAACACTGTCTTAATTTCTATATTATTTGATGGAGTCAAGTATAAACAAATGCTTCTAAAACAGCTGTTGAGGGAACCTTATTATATGTTTACATTTTCACAAAACCCAGATTAATCCACACACAGCCTGACTCTGCCTGCTGTTGAACTGTAATATTTTTGTTACTCCTTTACTATGATGTTTAAGGTGAGTAACAGAGTTCAATTTAAGTATAAAAAAGAAACAATTCTAAATATAGTATAGATAGGTATGGTCTACACAGAGAAATCAGAGTCAGAAATCCTGGGTCTGGGACACAAGTACCAGAACTGACAAAGGCTTCCTTCATGATCTCAGGCTAAACTCCATTCTATTTCTGCTTTCTGTCAAATGAGAAGAAATCTGCTACTTGCTAAGTATGTTAGAGAAAAATAAATTTTCATACATAAAGTATCATATTTACAAGTATTGTTTTTTATTTGAAATTCCCTAAATAAAACACGTTGAGGCATTTTAAATTTCATTTAGTAAGCATTCAAAGATATCATTCAAGCATATATAAGTTCATTAAAGAAGGCTGTTTTGCTTTGTGAAGTAGAGAAAAACATTATTCTGAAAAAGCTGATTCTGTCACCAACTGGAAATATGTCTTGAAATCCATCACGTAATGAGGAAAGAATTTCAAAGTGTACATACCACATTATCTGCGGATACTGCATGGTGGTCCTCCTCTTTCTGAGCCCTTGACTCATTTGGAACAATATCACTGGGCTCCTCTATAGGGGAAAAAAGGATAATTTCATTTTTCATACCTCAAAACTTAATATTGAGTGTGTTTTTTCTCAAGACCACTTAAATAATGTCTCTATTGTAAAAAGATACAGATGGCAAATTCACTTCACAAATGCTTTAATGGGCAATTCTACTTCTAACAATGTATCCTAAGGAAATAAGTGTGGATGGGTGCAAATACAAAGATAGTCTCTACAGTGCTATTTAAATAGAAAAAAAAGGAAGAAACCTATATCATTAGCAATGGAGACTGGGAGAAATCACTTGGGACCTATCTTTACAATAAATACTATAAAGCCACTAAAAATGAAATAGAAGAATAGTTAGCAACAGGGAAATTAATAACCATCTACTGTAAAATGAAAAAATAAAGGTGACCAAACCTACCATGTAGATACACATACTTTTAATTGGGTAAAGGAGGAAAAAATCATATTTTAATGGAGAGGAAAAAAAGAATGGCACTGTTTACATCAAAATATTACTGTTATTATCTCTGGACAGAGTTTTTTTCAATTTTCTTATTTTTCTTATTGTATATAAATATTTCTATGGGGAAAATTTATTGTTCATTACTATTGGAAAAATTATTAAAATCATTATCCTGTATATATGCTAAGAGAAAATACTGGCTAAAATATCCCCTAATCCCCATTTCCAGAGGGGTTATCACTGAGAGGTAGTATTACTTCTGTTTTTATTGTATTTACCAAATTTTTCTACAATGAAGATATATTCCTTTTCTTATTAAATTAAATATTTTACAATAGTGAAAGAAAAAATTTAGGAAAGAAAATAATGTAATTTTTTGGGAAAAAAACCCAACTTACTAAAACACTCTTCATGCTAAATTATGGAAAGTGGCTAATTCAAGGCACTGGGTGTCTACATATATTATTGCCCCTGTTTTATCTTTTAACCATTAGAAAAACAGGATAACAATGCCCCCCCCCCTTGGCCATGTCATTGAAATTATTTGGATATATATTAATAGATTTTCCCAGTTCTTTGGCAGTTGACATTTTATTTCACATTAGAAAGAATAACAAAAATATCAGCCCTCCCAAATTTTTTTCTGAGCCCATTCCTTCCCATGTAAACATATGTAAGAGTGTCTTATATGAGCATAGGGATGATTAATAGGAAATCATGTAGAATCCAGGAACTCACTTAGGAGAATTCTATGAGAGAATTCAAGTTGAAGAAATCCAGGAAAACTTTAGCAAGAGTTCTAATATGAAGTCTACTATAAATTTGATTTAATCTTTTTTCTGTCTCTTACTAGGTCTATTTTAAAAATAAATTTTAGGCTCTTGGGTGTAGCTCAGTGGTAGATTGCTTGCCTAGCATATGTGAGGCACTGGGTTTAAGTCTCAGCACTGCATTTAAATAAATAAAATAAAGGTCCATTGGCAACTAAAAATATTTTAAAAATCTTATTGTGTATACTTCTGGTATACAACATGATATTATAATGCACATGTATATAGTAAAATGGTTAGTTTACTGAAAGAAATTAATATATCTATAGTTTCATATAGTGAAACCCTTCCAGGAAATAGCAGCTATAAACATTTAGCAAAACCCCTGAATACAATCCACTATCATTAGTGATAGTCCTCATGTTTTACAATAGATCTTTCCACTCATTCATCATACATACTTGCTGCTTCACATCCTTTAACTGAAGTCGTCCCATTCCCCGTCTCTATTCTAATACTAATTTTTATTTTCTACTTCTATATATTTGATCTTCTTTTTTCCTTAAAATTTGCTACAACGTGGTTGGACTTAAAAGATGTTATTCTAAGATAAACTAGTCAGGAAAAAAATTACACGATCCCATTTATATGTGGAATCTAAAAAAAGTCAATTTAAATTTAAAAAATAGAATGATTCCTAGACAAAGGGACAGTAAACCTATTCATTATTTAGACATTTCAAATCATAGACCTTTAAAGTCCTACTAAATTGGCAACTAAATGAAATGAAAGGAGGAAAATTTTTCATCAGCTTTAGCTGCAGAGTTGGTGGTCTCAGAAGAGGGGTTATATTGCTTATCAACAAGATCATTATTGGTACTATTCCTTATAGGTTTGCCATATATTCCTGTTCTCATTTACTTGTAACTTTGTGCACAGTTTTGCTCTACTGGCAACATTTTTATGCATGGTTTGATTATTTTAGAAGACTTAAGTAAAAACTATTTTGAGGATTTCTAAATAAAAACGTGAAGTGATGCATTGAATAAGAAAGGTTTTCTTTTACATTGTGAAAGTTTGGAAAATAAACATTGTTAATAAGTCTGATTATTAAGACAAGCAGCTCTGCTAACTGGAAAATAAATAAGCAGAATTGTTAATGAGTTACAACTCTAGAGGGCACTCTATGATGTGGCTACATACTCACACTAGGGAATTGTATGCCAAATTATTTTTCATGTGCACAACCACATAATAGATAGAGCAGAAAAAGGCTTTGCTGCAAAAATTAATATTATAGATGCTAATTGTTCCCAAACTTTAATCACTTTGCTCCTCAGAATAGTACAAAACATTCAAAATTTCTTAACCATCAATATATGTTTTAGAAAATAGAGAACTTGAAATTAGGAAGCTCATTCATCCAAGCATTCCTTTTGCTGAAGTTCACAGTTTGTGGAGGGATGAACTAGGAGGATTTAAAAAATTTTAGTCCCAACCATATCTCCCTTTTCTTCATCCCTGCACAGGGATAGCTAAAGGAAGTCAAAGAGGGGAAAGTAGGAGATAGAATACGGATGTTAGAGGTAAGCCAGAAGTTCTGTGTTAGGGACATATCAGCACCTCAGAGATAAAGGAATGGATTTGAAACTGTGAAAAGATCAGCAACATAGCAGCATTTTTTGACTCCAGCAAAACCTGCCTTTAACTGCAATTAAAAAGTCTTGTTTGTTATGAAGATATTTTAGAAAATTTTATAGCATTTTTATTATTTTAACGTGTAATTTGTAAGCACATATTTAAAGATATCTTTCTCTTTTTATAAATCCTATTGAATCACTAGATGTGTTATAAGGACTTTGAATTTCAGTTGCTAGATTTTTGAAATGGTATGATCGGTTACTCTAATCATTCTGTATGTATATGTCTAAGAGTAAATTAATAAAATTCTCAAAGTAGACATACATCTAACTGCATTCTCATAAACTGTAACAGAATATGGTTAGCATATTTAAAGGTTTGATATTAGTTTAAACCAGATGATACAATTAACTTAATCATCACAAAATGATCACAGTCAAACCAATCAGATTAGTATTCTCCATCAGCAAAATGAGGAAGAGAATAGAAGTAGTAGTAAACTGCACAAAAAGGGGCTCTTTTCTGTATTTGAAAATGCTTTTCTGTTGCAATTTCTGATGAGAATGAAAAGGTTATCATGCAGCTGTGAAAAATAAGCCGCCGAGAGAAATTCTAGGCAATCGCACTTCTCGTCAAGTGTTTTTTGATTCATACATTAAATTCTCTCTCTCCTCTTTCTCATTAGGTCCTGATTACTATGCCAGCTGTCTAGAGAACATGCTATTATATGACAAAGAATGCCAGTGTAGGAGCAATGGTTTATTAAAAGTGGACCATTACAGAGGGCTTTAAAATTAACTTTCACTTTTTTTCCATTAACTGCCTTTTTTTCTAAAATTCCCTTATAGGTGGGGGAGTGGCAGTTAAGGAATAAAAATCCACCTAGGGGCTTCTGAACTTTATCAGAATATTTCCTCACAGCCTTTCCCACCCACTCTCAGAAAGACACAAATCCCTGTTTCCCCACTCGCCTTCAACTAGCTGCCAGACATTATGTTCTAAAGAGCCTGTCATGAATCACTGGGAATTTCCAAGTATCTCCAGGACTGAGAGAAGACAAAATTGTGTTTAATGAACCCACTATCTTAGAAATAAAGGGATGAGAATTGATAAAATGCTTCTTTTTTAAAATTTGGTGCTTTTTAAATCTGCTTCACAATTTCCTTGTATATTAAATTCTGTTACCATCTTCACCAATATCAGTAACAATGGGGAAAAGAGTGGGAAAGAGAGATAAAGAGGGAAAGAGAGAAACTTGAATATTCACATTTATAAATTGATAACATTTTAAACATCTGGTCTTGAAGTACATAGCCCTCTCAACAGTGACAGCTTTTCTTTCCCTTTTATTACTTAACCTACTGCAATGTTAAACTTCTGCCAGTGCATGTATTAATTGCTTTTTCTAAGAATCCCTTAAAAACAGATTCAATGGCCTCTCCATTCTACTCAATGTCTGCGAGATCACTGAAATAATAATGACCACTCTTCTTTCTGAAATCTTCCTTTTTCCTTTGTCTCCTGTTTCTGAATGATCTTTTAATGACTTCTTTTATCTTCTCTAGTCCCCAAATCTGAATTTTTCTCAACACACAGTCCTTGCCCATTGTCCTTTACTTTTTTTTCTTACTTAATAAATCTTCTATTTTTTTTTTTTTTTGGTCTAGGAGTTTTTGGCTTTGGTGTGGGTGATTCAAATATTTCACATATCTTAACCTTGCTTCTGAGTTCCAGACCATAGTATCTAAGAGCTTGCTGGACAGCTCTATAAAACTCAATAAATGCAAACCAGAATTAATATTTATATAATACCTTATCCATTTTATGCAATGCTAATAAAGTACTAAATGGGTTTTGAAGATGAAATTAGGAAAAGGTAAAAATTAAACAATTCTAAATTTTATTCAGAAGAATCAAAGTACCCCAAGAGCTAAGAATAACAAGAATCCTACCAGATTTTGAGACATTTTATAAAGCCACGTTGTAAATAGTCAGATCGACGTAACACAAGAGGAACTTCAGAATTTTACCTAGTGTGTATATTTGTATGGGTTCATGCATATGTATGTATGTATTTTTGTATGTATGCATATAAATGTATGCATATTTGACACAAAGCTACACTTAAGCACACTGGAAAAAAAGATATATATTGTTTAACAAATAGTGCAGAGATAACTATTTACATCTTTGAAAATATAAAATTAGGCATTTTCCTAACACGCATTAAGGCAAAATAAATTATAAGTGAAATAAATATGAATATGTAAAAATAATACTATAAAATATCAGAAGCAAAGATAGAGGTATATTTGCATAGTTGTATCACAAGAAAAAATGACAACCACGTCAGGAATCATAAAGGAAATATTGGTAAATCTGACAATATTAAATTACAACAAAAATTCTGACATCAGAAAAACATCATAAACAAAATTAAAAGGCAAATGATGAACTGGAAAATGTCAATGTATGAGTGTCAGTATCCTGAATAGGACTCAATGAAACAAAACAAACAAAATGGGCAAATACATTATTCTCCTTGTTTCTCAATCACAGATGCAAAATTATTATAGATTGTATGATTCCATTTATTTAAAATATGCAGAGAATGCACATTTATGTAGTCAAAACCAGATTAGTAGTTCCTAAAGCTGAGGATGGAAGGGGATATTGACTGAAAATGGGCTTTTTTGAGTGATGAAAATGATCTAATATTAGATTCTAGTTATAGTAATGGTTTTAAATTCAATAAAATAATTGAATTGTACACTTAAAATGGATGAATTTTATGAAATTTAAATTAAACATTAATAAAAGTGTTAATAAAAGTAGCATTAGTATTATTTCCATGGTTGAAGTCAAATGAAATACACTTCTCATGGACAAATGATTCCATGGTATTATTTGTAGTTTCATTTAAGGAAATACTGAGAGGTTTTTAAAGACAATCCAATCTAGTTTCCTTCTGCAAGTGAGTAAACTAAAGCCCAGTGGATTAAATGATTTGCCTGAAGTCATATAATCAGATAATGGAAAAGATAGGCCTTGCAAGCACCCAGTTTGCTACACACCAAGCCTGTTGTTCATTATGTTGTACCATACTCCCTTGCATTACAGTGTATTTTAGTGCTCTAATCTAAATTGACCAGAACTCCAATAAAATAAAGATAATCATTTATTTAATTATAATATATGAATTATTGAAATAAATAGCATTTTATTGTGTAGGATATCATTTTTGTGGTAGATGACTGCTACTTGTGTGAGTTGATGTGGGAGACTCTTTAATGGAAACATTAAAAATGAATCTCTTTCTTTACAAATTCTTGGTCAAGTGTTTTGAAAACTCTAGATTTGAGGTGCAGTGAGCCAAAAAACAGAAAAATGCATCAGATTTCTAAAGGCTATTATTAGGAGGTGTAGCAAGCACATAAAGTACCTTGAGAGCTTCCTTCGGACAAACAGATGGATACTTCATCATTTCTGTCATTATCCTCTCCTATTTCATGCCCAGCTTCCTCTCCTTGTGTGAGTGCAGACAAAGAAACAGATTCGGGCTGCTCAGAGAAATCAGCAGGGCCTCCTCTTGGAGGTGGAACTTCAATCCCCATTAAACGGTATTTCCTTCGTCGATTCCCAATCCAAGTCTTTATAAAAAAATAAAAGAGGGAGTTTTATAAATGTAGAAAACTTAGCAGTCTGGCCATGAAAAATGAATAGATGCTACATAAAATTTGAATAAAAAGAATAAACAGGTACAGAATAATGAATTTATGTCAATAAGCTAAAATAAAAATAATTTTGTTTTATTTCAAAAGAGATTATTAGCACAAGCAGGATATTTATCTAAATATTCAGATTTTAGGACAATATACAATCTAATAGAGATCACTTTGTTTCTGTTTTTACCTTATTTCTGAGGAAATCAATTCACCAAATCTCTCAAAAGTGAATTGGCTCTTGTTTTTTCCAAAATAAATAAATAAATAAATAAATAATAAATAAATAAATAAATAAGGCTATTACTTTAGTTCTATATTCCTATAGTTCAAATGCCATTTCCACTTTTGTTCCTTCTGGGTAAAAATGTGCTCTTTATTGCTCTGTATTCTAAAAATTTAATTTTATTGTATTTAGAATCAATTTTTGAAACATGTTGAAATAATTTTAGAATCAAAAAACATTTCAAAAATAGGTCTCGTGTGATTTTTTTTCACTCCATTTCCTCCAAATTACAATATTATAGCACAATATCAAAAGCAGGAAATTGATACTGTACACTACATACATATAGTTCTATGTTCTTTTATTATACCATAACTTTATCCCTTCCCACTATCCTTGACTTTTGGCAACCACTAATCTATTGTCTACTTCTGTATCTGTTTCAAGAATATTATATAAGTGGAATCATACAGCAGTAAATCTTTTAAAATCAGCCTTTTTTTCCCATTCAGCATAATTCCCTGGAGAGTCATTTAAGTTGTATCAGTAGTCCATTTTGTTTTACTGCCAAGTGGTATTCCATGGTATGTATGTACCAAAGTTAATTTAATCTTTCAGCTGTTGAAGGACACATGTTGTATTCAGTTTTTGGCTATTATATATAAAGCTATTATGCACACTCATGAATAGGTTTTTGTGCAGACATAAGTTGCAATTTTTTAAGGGCAAATGAATAAGAATACAATTTTGGGATTATATGTTAGATTATATAAGAAACTGCCAAATTGTTTTCTAGTGGAGCAATGCCATTTTACATTACTATTGGCAATGTATGAGATATCCAACTTTTCAGCTTTCTTGCCCATATTTACTGTTGTCAACAATTTTTTAAAAATTGGATGTTCCCAATCATGTGTGTAATGAAGGCTCATCATGTTTATCCTTCCTTCCTTCCTTCCTTCCTTCCTTCCTTCCTTCCTTCCTTCCTTCCTTCCTCCCTCCCTCCCTCCCTCTTTCTTTCTTTCCTGAGGATTGAACCTAGGGTCTTATGCATGTTAAGCAGACACTCTACCACTGACATTCATTGAGTTCTTAATTTGGTTTTTCTAATTGGTAGTGATGTTGAACATCTTTCCATGTGCTTATTTGCCATCTGTATATCCTCTTCAGTGAAATTTCTCTTCATTTTCTAATTGAAGTTTTTGATTGAACACACAAGAGAGTGTAATTCTCTATATATGAGTTCTTGGTCAGATATGTGGTTGACAAATATTTTATCCCAATCTTTAGCTTATTTATTTCCTCCTAGTCTTCCACAACAGAAAATTAAAAACTGCTTTAAAATAAAAACAACAGGAAAAATTGATAAGTATCTAGCAAGACTGGCAAGGAAAGAAAAATAAAATAAAACTTAATATCAGGAATGAACCAAAGAATGTCACTATAGACTTTGCAGACACGAAAGGAATAACAGAATAATAAAAACAACTTTACCCACACAAATATAATGGTTTAGATGAGATGAAATAATCTATTGAAAAGCACAAACAGACGCAACATAAAATAGTTAAAATTATAATGCTATTTTCAAAAAACAAATTCTGAGGTATAAACTTAACAAAATGTGTATAAGATTTATATGCTAAAAATTACAAAACACTGATGAAATAAGAATGTTTCTAAATATATAGAGAAATATTATGTGCTAACAGATTAGAAGACTCAGTGTTCTAAAGATGTAAATTCCTCCTAAAATGATATGCAGGATTAGCAAAATTAGAAAGTTTAACAAATCATAAGGGTAAACTCTCATAAATGGCATTAATGCTTTTACAATGAAACCCCAGAGAGCACCCTCACCCCTTCCATCATTTGAAGTTACAGCAAAAACACCACTATCTGTATAGTCCTGTACTGGACACAAAATATGCTAGCACATTGACCTTGGATTTCTCTACCTTTATAAGTGTGAGAAAAATTAATTCTGTTGCTTATAAGCCACCCAGTCTCTAGTATTTTGTTGTAGCCACTTGTGGTGGTTAATTTTATAGGCTAACTTAATTGTGCTAAGGGATACCCAGATAGCTAGTAAAACAATATTTCATGTGTTTCATGAGGATGAGCTGTAAGACATTAGTATTGGAATAGGTAGACTGAGAAGTTAACTCTTTGATAAGAGGGAGGGCATCAGCCCAATCACTGAGAGCCTTAAGTTTCCATATTACCTTTGCATAAAAACTCCAGGAATATGGAACTGTGCAAGTTTACTAAGTCCAGTATTTGCACAGTTTTATTTAAAGTTTCTCATTCTTAAACTGATTCAATATTTATTTTCTTTTTTCTTGTTGGCAATGTTTCCATTTCTTTCCTCCAGATTTTCTTCAGCTCAATCTCCCTATACATTCCAGCTATTCTAGAGTATATTTTCTTTGTTTCAAATTAAACACTCTTAATTTTGAAATACACAGTTTTAAAATAATTTTGTATGATACATTAACAAGTTATTTTGTCACTATGGGCCTCGAGCTCCTTATGTGCAAAATCAGGGAACTGGTTTCCAACTCTTGTACTTTCCTGACTATAAATGTAGCTCTGAGGTGGTAATACATCTGTAGATTAACACAATATATTTTCTACCAGAATTTCTATGTATTAACATCAAAATATAATGGGTATTAAAATGAGTACCATCAGATCCCATACATTTCCAAGCACATCTCTGTTAAATAATATGAACCTATATTTCAAACTTTTAGTGTAAATATATGTTACTATATATTTGGTAATCTGTGCATGATATATAGAGTATATCTTTTTGTTAGAAATTCATTCACTAGGGCTGGGGATGTGGCTCAAGTGGTAGCGCACTTGCCTGGCATGCATGGGGTGCTGGGTTCGATCCTCAGCACCCATAAAAATAAAAAATAAAGATGTGTCCACCGAAAACTAAAAAATAAATATTAAAAATTCTCTCTCTTTTTCTCTCTGTTAAAAAAAAGAAATTCATTCACTAATTCCACAAATAGTACAAAGCAACTATTATGTACCAAGCACTGTTATGGTGCTGGGGATATGGTGGTGAACATAATAGGCAAATCTGTATTCTGATGGATATTGAACTTAAAAACTACAAGTGATTATAATGAACAAATACATAAATATAAATATAAATTACAACTCTTGAACAAGTGTTACAAAGACAAAGAACCATCTAAAATATTAAAAGACAATGACATAGTGTAGCAAAGTCTTTTTCAAAATTACCTGATCATAAAAATTATGATTGGAGGAGGTTTCTCAAAAAACCAAAGATAGAACTTCTGAATGACCCAACCATACAACTCCTAGATGTATGTATAAATAAAGCAAGTAAAATCAGCATACAAAATAGATACCAGCACAACCATGTTTATTGTTAGCACTATTCACAGTAGTCAAGATATGGAATCTAGATAGGTGCTTGTCAAATGATGAGTGGATAAACAAAATATGGTATTTAGACACAATGGAGTATATTCAACTATCAAGAAGAATGAAGCTTCTTTACAGTAAAGGAAACTATCAATAATGTGGAGAGAGCCTTCAGAGGGTGAGAAAATATTTATCACATACACATCAGATAGAGCACTAAACTCCAGGATATATTAAGAACTCAAAAAGCTAAGCACCAAAAAAAAAAAAAAACCCAATCAATAAATGGGCCAAGGACCTGAACAGACACTTCTCAGCAGATCATATACAATCAATCAACAAATATATGAAAAAATGTTCATCATCACTAGCAATTAGAGAAATGCAAATCAAAACCATTCTAAGATTTCATCTCACTCCAGTCAGAATGGCAGCTATTATGAAGACAAACAACAATAAGTGTTGGCAAGGATGTGAGGGAAAAGGCACACTTATACACTGCTTGTGGGCCTGCAAATTGGTCCAACCTGCTTTCCAGTATGGAGATTTCTT